TTATTATCATTATTGTTAGTATTGTGATTATTATTAATAATAATAAGAATACAAATAATAATAACTATTGTTCTCAATGCTTTAATATAATCATTATCATCACCATCATCATCATCATTATCTTCATTATCAACATTAACCTTTATTACTCCCTCGGCTTATCGTGACCTTTTCGGTCCTAATTATAATCACAATAACAATAACACTGATGATGATAATATTAACAATGATAATAACAATGATAATATTATTGTCAAAGGAATAACACCAAATAAACACACAACCTTCCAAATTTTCTCCCTCGGTACATCTGACAACTCGCATTAATAGCTGACTAGCATTACTAAAGACGCTGACGACATAGGATACTGTACATGGACTTGATTAATAACTAGTCTCAATAGTTAGCTAGCATTAAAAAGTAGCAGGGTTACTACCATCACTGCAAATGATACGATTGCAACACCAGACCTATGATTCCGATGTTGAGTGGAGTTAGTAATCAATGATTAACTGTATATGACTTTGTAGTTTATAGAAAATTATAATACAATTAATAGATTTGCAGAATTTAACTGAAGTGCAGACGTATTTTCGTGGCTGATAAATAAGTTACAAACATCTTAATCCGAAGTCTAGGCTCCATCATCGCATTCGCACGATTTGCGGAAATGGTGGAAGAAGACTGATAAAAAAAAATACTAATAAGGGGTTACTTAATAACTAACTAGAATTACTAAAGACAAGACGAAGTAGGTCAATATACAAGGATCAACTAGACTTAACTAGACTTGATACCGAGCTACCATTACTAAGGACAAGGAAATACCTACTACTCTTAACATCTAACAATATGTACCTAATAATTAATCATATCAGGTAACTAGCATAAATACTAGATATAAGTTACCGTACGAAGGGGTTACCTAATATTACCTAATAGCTAACTTGCCTTACAAAACATCCCAACCTGACAAATATAAGTCAACACACCAAGATTTTTCTAACAACTCGCCTTATTAGTTCACTAGTTTCACTAAACATACGCAACAAGAGACAAAAATAAGTTACCGTACGCAGGGGTTACCTAATAGCTAAGTAGCATTAATAAAGGGTCATTACTAGGCCGTACATACTCTTCACAATCCATTATGGTAAGCAGTGGCTCAGCATATTAAAGAGCGGCGTCCCTCGGTATGTCCCCGAGATACGATCTATTTTCGGATTAATTAGACGTATTCTATCCGCTGTTGTTTGTTTGCCCGGTTCTTGCTGTGTTTGTTTGTGTTTGTTTGTTGTGTACTGTTGAGAGTTGGTAGGGGGGGGGGATGGAGAGAGGGAGGGAGGGAGTGAGTGAGGGAGGGAGGGAGAGAGAGAGAGAGAGAGAGAGAGAGAGAGAGAGAGAGAGAGAGAGAGGAGGAGAGAGAGAGAGAGAGAGAGAGAGAGAGAGAGAGTGAGAGAGAGAGAGAGAGAGGAGAGAGAGAGAGAGACGAGAGATGAGAGAGAGAGAGAGAGAGAGAGAGAGAGGGAGGGAGGGTGGGAGGTAGGGAGGGAGGGAGGGAGAGAGAGGGAGAGAGAGAGAGAGAGAGAGAGAGAGAGAGAGAGAGAGAGAGAGAGAGAGGCAAACAGAGATAACACAAATAGACAGACAAACAGACGAAAGACTGAGACAGACAGAAGTAAACAGACAGACAGACATAAAGAGAAAGGTAAACAGAGAGAGGAGAGACAAACAAGAAGACAGACAGAAACAAACGTTAGATAGAAAGAGCGAGACAGACAGACAGGCAGAGAGAGAAAAGGGAGAGAGAGAAGCAGAGATAGAAGAGACAGACAGGCACAGAGAGAGCGAGACAGACAGACACAAAAAGGAGCACGTCTCATCCAGGATGCCTCGCCCTCGATCTCTTCCTCTTCCTCCTTCTTTTACTTTTTTTCTTCTTCTTCGTGTCCTCTTCCTCCTTCTCTCCCCCTCTTCCCCATTCTTTTCTTCTTCTTCTTCTTCTTCTTCTTCCTCCTCCTCCTCCTCCTCCTCTTCCACCTCCTCCTCCTTACTTTCTTCCTCCCCCTCCTCCCTTCCCATCCTCCCCCTTCCTCCTCCTCCCCTTCCTCCTTCTCCTCTTCTCCATCCTCCCCCTCCCTCCTCCTCCTCCTCCCTCCTCCCTCTCCTCCTCCTCCTCCTTCCTCCTCCTCCTCCTCCCTCCTCCTCCTCCTCTCCTCCTCCTCCTCCTCCTCCCTCCTCCTCCTCCCTCCTCCTCCTCCTCCCTCCTCCTCCTCCTCCCTCCTCCTCCTCCTCCCTCCTCCTCCTCCCTCCTCCTCCTCCTCCTCCTCCCTCCTCCTCCTCCTCCTCTTCCTCCTCCTCCTTCCCAGGTACGCGTCTGCCCTCCTCCGCCTCCGGCTCTGTGCCCAGTCCCGCCAGCGAGCGAAAGGAGCCGCTTATCAGGCGCCAGTGCGACCGCCAGAGGAAGGATAAAAAAAAGAAAAAAAGAGAGAAAAAAAGAAGAGAAAAAGAAAACGAAAACGGGGAAAAAAGAAAACGTACGTCAGACGTAGACTCGTCATCGTCTTCGTAGAATTTGTGAATTTTTTGTCCTTAATTTTTGTGTATATATCTTCTTTTTATTTATTCTTTATTTTCTTTATCTACCTTTTTATTTGTTTATTATGCCAGATAAAGAAAGAAGAGAAAAAGAAAACGAAAACAGGGAAAAAAAGAAAACGATAGACGTATAGACTCTTTATCAACTTCCTGGATTTTTTTTTTTTTGT